ATCAGCAAAGCAAAACAAATAATAGTGTGGCTATAATTTGGGATGCATTCCGTTTCAGACATCGGGAGTCATTGCGACAGCAAATTCTTATGAAAAATGTTAATGCGATCTATTCGTGGTTCTGGTGTAACCTCATGATAAGTAACCACTTACGTTCGGTAGGTTCGTATAGTTTCTTCGAAGGCTCTATTACTACCTGGTTCCAGAGAACCAGGAAGTAACAGCAGGGCGGAAAACGAGGAACTTCGTCATTTATAATCTTCTCCCAGTATAATTCAGACGATGAAATCAAAATAGGAAAGATGGGTAAGGAATGTAGCATGGACAGGGGTATGAGAAATGCGTATAAAAGTTTAATCGAAAAACATAAAAGTAAGAGAACACTTGCGAGACGGAGACTTAAATGAGAGAAAAAAATAAGAAGTTATCGTTTGGAGTAGATTCAAGTGGCCAGTAGGTAATGTGAACCTTCAGGTCCATAAAAGGGCGAAATGGCTGACATGATGAAATTATACAATTCATAATACTATCAGTAGCATATGTACACCATGCCACTTTATTTGATATCTGTCGGTTTAAGCTCAATCAAAACTACGAGTTATCTTATGTCACGTGTCATCTCTCGGTTTATTCAAAACCAAGTGCTCTTACGTACTTTCTCATTTGAATAATTATTATAACAAAATGTACCTACTTTCCATCTGTCGGTAAGATTTGACACAATCGAGGAAAAGATCCAAACTCGATGTCCTCTCGATATGACACTTTTCTGTATTCAGCTGCCATCTTTCGGTGAAAATTTGCTAGCCTCTTTTGACCTTGTAACTGAATAGCAATGCAGTGCGCAGGAAAATACAGAATTTAAAGTGGAAGGAGGAATCCAAGAAGAAAATTTTCCCTTCCGCGAATCAATCCAAACCAACCTGCCAACTGTTGCAGATGGTCATACAAGATTTGTAATGTTCTTTCTGAGTGAGAATCAGCCGGGAACCTTCCTCGTAGGCAATTAACCTCATAAAGTGGGGACCTTCATAAGAAAACAGTCTCTCACCTAGTCAAGAAATTCTCCGCCTTTTGTGGAACTAGAATGTTCATCACTATCTACAAAAGATCTCGCCACTACAATCTACTTTTTTTCAGATCAGTTTTAATAGCAGTCCTCCATCTAAACTTAGTTCTCCCAAGTGATCTCTTCCATCTGTCTTACTTCTAACCACCAGCAAAGACCTCAAAATCTAACCATCAGGAAGCAGGTCCGCGTATCTCAAACAGGCTTTTCGCTATCAATCAGTTGCTGTTTAATGGCACTACAAAGTACTGTTTGACATTTCTCTATCAGGAAATAAAACCTCACCTCAGTAAACAGGTTTTATGACTGTGATGAATTGATTATTAGTGGTTGACGAATAAAACTGAATTCAACAAGAAAGACAGGATTTAATTACGTTTAATCAAATGTCGTGATCGAACAGTGCCGAGAGCTGACCGTGACTGCAGCAACAGACGGAAGACCGACTTGTACGTAGGTCTGTCACTTCCAGTGACTGAGTAAACACAAGCAGCAGCAGGGTAGTGCTGGGGGATCAGCAGTAAGTATGAACGAGACAGAAGCCGGTTCAGTCCCTGTGTTCAAGTGCGGGTGAAAAAGCGACGTGGTGGGTGAGCGTGGATGCATTCATGCGATCCAAGGTACGGAACCAAAGAGCAGAACTTTGTTTCGGTTTGAAATTTAATTTCTGCAGTGAGTCGACATATTTATTTCCCGTTTTCCTCTAAATCCCTCAACAGATAAACAAGATCTTAGCAGAAGACAGAAATCTTCATACTCACCGCTGTGAAAACCTCAAATCTTACAAGATCTTAGCAGTTGATGAAACACCGTTGTCCGTATTTTACGTACAACTGTGCACTGTGATTTTGATAAACCAAAAGATTTAAACGAGCTATCTTCGTTCCATAAGCATTTTCTTCGGGGTCTGTACCATACTGTAATATTCAACTGTCCTTTCTCCGTACAATCTGAAGCTTGGCATGTTGAAAATAACCAACGTTTCGGCAAACATCCTCAGGGTCGATATGTGGATGCTTTTGGAAGCCTTGTATAGGGCAGACGGTAGGTGGCGAGTTGGATTTGATGATGCTGATTGGTGGAGCGGAAGAGTGGGCTGACATCCAATTAGAGATGTTACGTCATCTCTCTTAGGTTCAGATATTCTCTTCAGGATTTTGTTTTCAAAAACAATCGATTTCCTGCCCTTATATTGCACTCACATTCATAAATTTTAATATGAATATTATTAAAACTTATCACCACAGACATAATAAACAAAATATAGAACAAGAAGCAAACATTTCAGTGTTTCTAAGTCAGACGATCAGGACACGGCACACAAAACGTCCACAATACGGCAACCATTCTCCAGAAATATTTTGCACACCACAAAATGGATCGCAAACCACAGTTTTGGAACCACACAAAAAAGCATAACGGCGCTTGTACAACCTTACTTGTTCAAATATAACATAGCTGTTGGTCTGTAGTTCTGTCATATGATTCAGCAAACTTCATATGATATGTAGTTCAGAACTGGAAACAAATCGCCGTGATTATAGGCAACACATCTTACAAAAGAGTAAGGCGTGTTGCTAAATAAGAAGGTAGCACACCTGCTTCTTATTCAGTTTGTGCTGGGTAAATATACGCCATACCGCAATACACTTAATTAAAAACTATAATAGACTTGTGATTTCCTGATTTTATGAACGTCTGAAGTTCATCACAGAGTTCAAAAATGTTTGCAACCGAAATCTGCCCTTGGCTAGCCCCCTCAAATAAGCGCAGGTGTTTCAAATAGTGTTCGTACCCGTGGTTATGCATCTATTATTTTCCCCCTGTAGGGTCCAAATTCTGCGCACTTCATTCAAATGACGGAAACAAAATTAAATTCTGAGCCAGTTGAGTTCAGTCGACATGTAGCTGAGGTAGGGAAATCGGACAAACATAGACTCGAGGCGTAGAAACCTATTGAAAAGCAAGAAATAGACGTGGGAGAAACATCAAAATGACTTTTATGGAAATAGGAAGTGAGGATGGACAGGATCGTGTCCAACGGTTACTTTTGGCTTTAGCGATATTGAATCTCCAGGTTCTACCACCAGAAAGTTAGTAACAATCGGATTGAAATTCAACTGTTGTACTACTGGTCGACTTCCTCAGAACAATAGTCTATTACTAGAGATCGTATCGTCTCACGTATAGCCATTAAATTTCTGCAGTTACAGTTAAGTCCCACCGAGCGGCTTGAATTCTTCACTGGTCGTAAATTATATTGCATTTCCCTCTTTTTCCGCAGGGCTGATGGTGCCGAAATGTTCATGAGAATATCAGTCCTCTGCTTCTTGACAAGGATACATGGCGGTAAGTACGCCATGTTTCCGTTTCTCGATCAAACAAAAATATTAATCTTAGCGATCTGCAAGTGATTTTCTCCAGGCACATAGTTCTGACATCGTTTAATCATCTTATAAATTAGGTATCGCCTCTAAAATCCCAATGTATAACAATATAGCTGTATGTTATACAAATACTGTAACTGACATTGCCCATTGTCTGATATACGACTATCGATTCTACAAACTTCCTTCGTCGAGTGGTTAGCTGTCATTACACTGAGAATTTGTTTTTAATTTTAAGATAAGTGGCGACGATTGGGATCAAACCTGTGACCTTTTTAATATAAATTTAATGTGACAATCACTGTCAGTATACAGCGTAGAATGGAAATTTTTGAACATATTTATATACACATACAGAAAAATTGATAAATATAAATTTCTCAAATATTGATAAAAATGGCTAGCTCCAACTCTTTCAAGACACGAAAGGAAAGATTTGTCAGGCATTTTCCAAAGTCGGTGTTCCTAAGAAAGAGTCTGTACTTGTAACACGTTTCGTTTTCTTTTCAGTGGTGCCCAGTCACCCGAAAGAGCCAACCCTGCACCCCCACTGGAATCTCTTCGAACACGAGAAATGTGGACTAAGCCAAGCAGATCGGATCATTGGGGGTAGGGACGCTGCACTAGGGGCCTACCCCTGGATCGCCAGAATAGGGTACACATGTAAGTTATAAGTGGGCCCTCTGCATCCACTTGGAGTAGGCAAAGTTTACCAAAGTCTCCCGTGGCAGAACCAGAGGATTCGACACGACTCATACAGGAGCACGCCACTGGACACGATCGTGAGAAAGTTTGAAGATGGCTGTCTTCTGAGTTGTAGCGCCGTGTAGTCTGGTAGAAGATGAGTCACTCATCGCACTGATGATGGAGGCAGCAAGGACCTCTCAAATGTTGGTAAACTTCTACCAGACTACACGGTAATACAATTTCCATTGTATGTATTTTAATATTACACTGGCCCTTCTACAAGCTTTTCCTCTATCAATATTCTATGCATAACACTAAAAGCAAGTCTTTTGTGCAGACAACATGTCCCAGAAGCCGGTGTTCCGATGTGGCGCTGTTCTCGTCAGCAAGCGGTACATAGTCACCGCGGCCCACTGCGTCACGAACCTCCCTAACAGAGTCCGAGTGTGAGTTCCCGAATGGTACATCAAAACATCGCTGGGACTTCAGCGACCGCAAAATTTATCTAGCCTAGTGAAATAAGTGGTCGTGACTCATTTTGAGGTGATATCCACATCATGGGTAAAACCAAACATCAGTCAATTTAGACTTTCTGGCAATACACTGAGATGTCGCTAAGAGACCTCTAGGTAATATTTCAACAAATGAGACCAACACGTCAATGTCAATAACGTTGTTCCTGCTCCTCAGCGCTACACCGCCATGACGGTCTGTGTGGAAACTAAAGTGTCACGCTTTCTTAATGTCGGTACTACATGAAGGCCAGTGGTTAATTTCACGTCCCGACCATTTCATACTCCGGAGAAAGGGCCCCTGGTACCCATTGGATAGGATGGAAGGCTGTTGGCTCTGCCGTTTAGTGATTTTCGAAATTCAGATATCCCAGGCCTCAATCAGATAAATAAGAAATGTACAATCAACATTTTCTCATAAAATTAATTTTGTCTGTTAACGCAGACTTCGTACTAGCAGTCAAATAATAATACGAAAAGATGTCGGAGGTGTTATTCTTCAATCGGGCCAACGAGCAGTTGTTCATAATATGATGCACACACCGTACGCGTCTATCGAGCTTTCACGTCGTGGAACTAACCTTCCCCACGACCACAGCAATACAGTTTCTGAAACAAAGTGATGTTTTACTTGCAGAGGCGTGATTCGACTTGGTGAACACAACACAAACACAAACCCGGACTGCGAAGATGACGTCTGTGCCGATCCCCATCAAGACTTCTTCCCAAAGGAAGTCATTGTACATAAAGATTACGGGAAACCACGGTTTAAAAACGATATTTCCCTCATCCGTTTGGACAGACAAGTTGCTTTCTCAAGTAAGGTACAGCAGGATATGGTACAACGTGTGTCCACTGCAGCGTCATGCCATTGATTTATCGTTCTTGTGCCTGCAGGTTACGTAATGCCCATCTGTATGATACACGGCGTACTGCTGACGAAGAGCTACGTAAGTGAATCCAGCGAAGTGGCTGGATGGGGAATCTACGACATAGGTACAACAGGCTAGCGCATAAATAACACTACACTCTTCATAATAATGTTATGTGCGTTTTGGAGCTGATAGTGCTCAGATGACCAATATTTTTACCTGTAGGTGATGTTTGCGAGGACAACTGACATGCAAATAACAGCTATAAAGCTGATCTGATAGAACAGTATTGTGATGATAAAAAGGTTATGTGCTTATTTGGGACCTTGCTATAAGAATCATTTGAAATGAAAATGCTCGACTATTTAGCTCTCCTCGATTGACTGATTCTTCTATTATACGATGATGATTCAGCAGCAGAGACTATGTAGAGTCGAATAACATGTGTTCAGCCCAGGTGAACGTGTACTTTAAGTAGTCAAATGCTAGAGTCGTGGTCAATTTGAAAGTGCTGTCCTAGGATAAGAACCAAGTTTCGCTGTTTTCAGATAACCCTAAGCCGAGCGTCCTCCTGCAGACGGTCAAGCTGCCCGTTGTGAAGAACGAGAAGTGCGAAGATGCCTTCAAGTTTCATGCCAAAATAGGACGAACGCAGATGTGTGTGGGGGGCGAAGTGGGGTACGACTCGTGTGGGGGGGACTCTGGGGGGCCTCTTATGAAAGTGGAGACACTAGACGGGTCCCCTCGCTATTACTTGCTGGGCGTCGTGTCGTTTGGTGCGAGGAAGTGCGGCGCCACAGCAATGCCTGGAGTGTACACTCGTATCTCGGAGTACATGAACTGGATCATGGACAACATGCAGACTTAGAATGGCCGCCATTCAGCACAGTCACAAACAGCGGTTGGAGATTTCTTTTAAATCAATATTAATTGATTTGGTGAGATTCCAGGTTCTCACAGCGGCGAGACTTCTGGGTTGCTGCGCCGCGTAGTCTGGTAGAAACTTACCGACATTTCATCGCCTTGATGGTGAGACAGCAAGCACCTCTGAAACGTCGGTAAACGTCTGCCAGACTACACGGCGTAACAGCACAGAAGACGGCCACATCCATTCATTAATTTAAAATCAGATTGGATTTTCTTCGTTCAGTATTAATATTTCGGTGATAATCAAAAATTGTATTAACTGGTCCGATAAATTCAATCTTTTAAAAAACTTAAACTTTTCGGCACTTGTCTGTCTCAATAAATATATTAAAAACAAGAGAAACTATTTATGTCCAGGAACTGTCTGCTAAACATTTGCAGATTACATTTTCCTACTATTAATATAAAACTATTATCCAATCATGTGAGAGCTATCTGTGAAGAGATCATTGCTGGAATGGTTGACTTAAGCAATGTGACTTGTACGAACTGCATCGAAATACCAGTTGTATTTATGTTTGCAATTTCAAGTATTTGTGTGTCATTTCAAAGGTATATCTGAACCAAGGCGAATGGCAGTGTGGCAAGTAACAAAGTATTCATTGCTAAGCGGCCTCGCAGACTGAATAACTACCAGCCTTTGTCGAAATATACCGTTAATTGACTCTCCATCTTGTTCTTGGTCTTACCTTTGGCCTTTTCCCGTTATGTTTCTATTTTAAAGATTGCTTTCCGTGTTGAGTTTTACATCGGACAGACATTCTTTTCCCTTAAAAATATATTCATAAATAAATTATTAATTCAGTTTGCGGAATGCTGCGTATCCTTATATCAAAGTGTCAAAATATGGCAGGACAGATTTGTTCTCACTGATAATGTCGCATACCAAAGATATACATAGAAGTAAAACCGTTTGAAACAAACACATCTATTCGTATAATGAAAAGTGTTAAATGAAACCGACGAAAAGGTTCAATAAGGCTTACTCGAATATATTATAGTGAGTTAGAACAATCAAACCGGACGTGGTTTGGGATTTCTGCCTCTGTTTCCGGAAACCGGTGGTTTTTATGAACTTCCGTTCGAGTTTTGTGGAAGTCAGACAACCTAACACGTAAGAAACGTTGTCAGAAATCTTATTTGGATGAAATAAGACGAATGTTTCGACTCCAAATTTCCTAATTATTTTGTATTTATTTCTGGGACATCACTGGAGCAAAGTTGTGTCTTCCAACAAACCCCGTCATCGAAATTATGCTTTTGGTTTCATAATATAACAGTAAATTTTGCCATCACACAATAGACGGTAATACCTATAATGCAACACGAATTTGAAAATAACAAAAATTTGGAAAATATCTATAAAATCAATTTTTTTTAAATTTTTTTAAAAAAGTGTTAACATTTTGAAAAATTCAAAACTTTCTAAAATTGGAAATCATCTCGGAATTATAAATTTTTTCCAAAATTTTTAGAATTAAGAAACTGAAAAATTCTAAAATTCTAAAAATTTTGAATAAAAAAAATTCCAAAACTGGCAACATATCTATAAAAATAAATTAAAAATTGAAAATATTTTGGAAAATTTAACATTTTCAGAATTTTGAAACTTTACAAAAATTTACAAAATTGGCTAAAGTTCTCATAAAACACCTAAACCCACAATTTAAACTTTTTTGTCACTTTACGTCGCGGTCGAGTGTTTAGCACTTGTGCATTTTAATCGGCCATTCCTGGTTGAAACCTCGACTTGGATATTTTTCGTGGTTTCCGTCAGTTCCTCCAGAAAAATTTTGGGACAGCTCTCTACATTAGACCACGACAGGTCCTTCCCACATACCTCGATATTATTTGTTCATTTATTACTATATCATCCGAGGTTGTAATAATCTGAACTACTGACAGCATTGTTAAATAAACCACAACAGGATATTTTACAACTTCATGAAAATGAATGCAAAAGCTCGATATTGTATTCTAGTATTTGTGTCTCGGAGTCCCTCTTCCTGAATTTCTGCTAGGATGAAAGTGTGGGAAAAAATGATCATAACACATACAATTAAATGTTTCACGATGCCATAACGTATATGAGGTGCGATCGGAAAGTTTCAAGACTGCGCCTATAAAAACCCGTACACTTATCTCAGGTATTAAATTCATCCATCACCCTCGAAGTAGTTCCCCTGGGAGTGACCACAACGATCCCAGCCCCGCTGCCAAGCCTGGAAGCATCCCTGGAAATCTTTCTTTGTCAGCCTGTCAAGCACCATTTGCGATTCTGCCTGAATCTCTTCTATCGTCTCAAATCGCCTTCCCTTTAGCTGAATTTTCATCTTTGAGAAGAGGAAACCTTAGAAAGGAAGTTGGGGTCGGTTCTTGCAAGATCTTTCAGCTCCTGACAAACGAGAAGTCGATTCTGCTTCTGGTCCTCAGACAGGATGCGTCGCATGTGGAGTTCTTCCTTTAGAATCAGCTGACAGGTCCCATAACCTATCCCAACAATGTCGCACAAGTCGTTGATGGTACGACGTCGATCTTCGTAACATTTTCGGGCGTTGTGCTCGAAGATGGTCGTCCAGAACGCTCGTCATCATCGACAGAGGTTCGGCCATTTTTAAAACGTGAATGCCACACAAAAGTTTGTGCACGACCCATTGCGGACTCCCCAAATGCTTGCTTGAGCATTTCATAGGTTTCCGTAGCCGTTTAGGCGAGTCTTTGGCAAAATTTGATGCACACGCCATTCCGAAATCGCAGGAGGGTCGGTGTAATGCACTACCAAAACGCCCGTAACTAAGAAACAAATGCTAATTCGATGATGCCGGCTGGCACACTGATTCACTATGAATGTAGCCCGCACCCCC